CTTCACAAACGGATACCTTAACTTATAGTAGTATAGTGTGGTCAGTGTGGCTACGATATCAATTTACAAATTTGTATTCATAGAAGTATAGAACCTATTTGCAATAATAAAGTTCAGCATTTATAGTCTATTATCCAGATAGGTACCAAAACGGATTATCATTGGTTCTGGAGGTAAAGGGTGCTCCAGTACAGTATTCGATGCATTATTTTTTTTGAAAATGTGTACACGTGATGGTGCAGCTTTCTTAAATATTTATTTCACGTCAGCTAAAATGTCATCAACAGTAGGTACCAAATTGTACTCGTACTTCCTTCAAAACTCTATAGAGCCTATGAACTCTTGTTAAAAATAAATCTTTTTTATTGAAAAGATATTAAATAAGACCTTGCAGCTGATCATAACAAATTTACAGTTGATATAGAATTGAAAACTTGTTTATTGGTGATTTTTATTAAATTATTAACATATAATATACATTGTAGACATGTTTAAAATCTTTAAATACGCAAAATCACATACATTTAGACATTTAGTAAAATATGTAAAAATATGCAACATAAGTTTTTGCAATTCGATTGTACCTACATAGGTATCATAAAACGAATTTGTATCGAATCAGATTCTAAGCCCTGACTATAAGACAGTATATATTAATTTAATTATATGCTTTTTGATATTGCTATGTTATAGGTAGTACCTACATAATTTATTTTACTAACCACTAGGTATTTGTATTATGGTAGGTATTGGTTTAATGTTTACCTACTGAAAACAATGCATTTATTATACAATTTATTATACTATTAATATTAATAGTGAATTTTTGTTATTTATGCTTATTATTGTGTTATTAACCCCAAGTTTTGAGTCAATACCGACTTAAGAACAGAGTCAAATACTATGGATAGTCAATAGCTTTTAATTAATATACATTTTCATATTATACAGGGTGTCCCGTGAGGATTTACTCATTAGCCGTAGAGGGGGACTCGCCGCCCGGACAAAAACCAGTTTATTGACGTTTTACTAATAAACTAAAAAAATTATTAAAAATCATGAGATTAATGAAAATAAAATGTTAAAAGCTCAAAATGTTCACAAAAATATACTCTATAGAATGGCTATCTTCAATTTTTTCAAAAATAAAAAAATAAAAAAATAATTTTTTTAACTTTTTTACTAAAAAATTTAATTTAATAAAAAAATAAAATATTTGTAGTGCTTACCTCTGCGAGTCTTAATAAAAAAACATAATTACGATATCTCCATTATTTCAGGAGATATCGCAATGAGTAAATCCTCACGGGACACCCTGTAGAATATAATAATAAACGTAAACGATTTAAGTCTCCACGAAATAATATTGTCCCCGTTATATTTTTGAATTCCCACAACATAATTAAAATTCTTATTTTTTCTTTGAATATCTAGTTTCTTTAATATTTAAATTTTAATAGCTTTAATAACAGCTTACGAGGAACCTTGAATTCAATTTTCAAGGTTTTTGACCTAGTGAAATGTTTTAATGTTTTAATGATATTAATTAAATATAGAAAAACGTTTGAAATATCAACATGTCTAGAAATAGCTCAAAAAGAATCAACTCAAATTATTACATGTAAAGAAAGTTCTACTATAAACATTTGGTAAAAATTTAAAGTATCTAGGTATGATTATCCGATTTTGAATCAAAACAAAAGATCAAAATTGTTATTTCACTCTTGAATAATCCTAATTGGTCAAACTTCAGAGACTCGTAAAAAATATTTCTGAAATTACGCTCAACTTTCAATTTTAATTCCAGTAGGCATTAAAAACTCATGAGGAACCTTGTATTGGGTTATTAAGCTTTTTGACGTAACATGCAATTTTTATCAACAGTATTTTTTAAAAAACTAATAAAATTCGAAATTTTCCTACGTAAAGTACAGGTCAGTCAGTCTATGATATTACTAAGCAAATATATTTGATGATATTATTGTGAATAACGTAGTTTATATATTATAACTTATAAGTATTTATAACGTATTATGTGGAACCTTGTTTTAAATATTCAATCCTTAGGTATAAAAGTTGAAAATATTATAAATTTTGAACTACAAAATAATTTTTAAATATTAAATTTGATAAACGTGAAAATCCAAGCCGTAAGGTAAAATCTATAACACTTTAACAGCATCAGTGAACAATGAACTCAATCCTTTCAATAAACCCTAAAAACTGTTAACAATTTAGTACTTAATACAAGATACGAGTTAAATTAAAAACCAACAGAAGTTAGAAGTGGTAAATTATGAAAATAGAGTAGGATGAAATATTTGAATTTTGTGCTCCACCTTCTATGAAACAATGAGTCGCCACTGGTTTCAGAATTTTACAAAATTTTGGTAACATGAAATTGATTGATGTACGCCAATTGGTGTCAGTACGCAGTCAACGTGTTTAAAGTGCTTATTTTCACTACTTTTACAGCATATTTACCCTCATTATCTACATAGCTAGTAATAATAATGGGTATACACTGTAAATCCCAGTACAGCCTCCAAAACACCACTGATTTTTTGTACCTATGTAATGTGTTTTAGTTATTTTTATTTGACATTTTTATTAGACAGATAAATTGTTTGTGATTATTAGTTGCCCATAAACTATTTAATAAAATATGTAATAGGTAGGTAGTTTTAATTTCTATAAAGAAACCAAGATATTGTGATGATAATTCCAAATGACAAGAAACATATTATATTTATATAATAGTAGGTAACTACAAGGCTGTATCTGGGGGGGAATCCAGTTTCAATATCTTATTTTTAACCAAATATCAAAACCTAAATTAAATTAACCCCAACCCCCCACCACCACGAAAAAAATTTCTGGATACGGCCTTGGGTAACTTCTAACGATAGGTAAAATTTTATTTTTATCAAATAATTGTATTATATATTTATATTCGTATTTTATATCAGACGTAACCAATATTGGCATCTGCTTAGATGGAATCCAGAATGTAACAACAAGCATTGTATTATTGCATCGACAATAGACCCACAACATTATAATAATAAATCCATACGCGAATTTCGTCGTCGAGTTGTTTCATTGAATAATAAATAATCATCGTGTCCAGATTGAAATATTATAGTATAATCTCGACGTAGGTAGGACGTAGGTACTGGGGGTCTATTTTGTGGTAATCGGAAAAAAAATCCCCAGCTAAAATATTACTCACAATCACATGCAAATGGTTGAACAAATATATTTTGAACGTTAATTAGTATCTATAATTAATATTTAATGACAAATACGTATATTATATTATATTATAATATAATATATTATATAATATTGTTAAAAAAATTATAAAAATATTTAGAATGATCGATACGTCAATTAATAATACAGTTAAAAACATAGGTAGTATACAAAAATATTATACAAAATATAGGTACCTATAATTATTATTATTATCATTATTATTACCACCTATATTTCGTATAAAATGTTTGTATACCTACTATATTATACCTACTAAATATTTGTATATGTTATGTTTTTACTGTGAGTAGGTGACTATAATACATTCAAAATTCAATAAATTATTGTTTGATAATTATTTTATTATGATTATAGTTATTATTATTATTATTGATATTACCATTTACCACGCATATTTTAAATTGTTTATAATATTTTTATATACCTACTATGTTTTGAACTGTATTCTTTGACGAATCGATCACTCGAAATATTTTTATACTTTATATATTTGTGTACACTACCTACACCTCACACAACAATCATAAGTAATATTTTAAGTTTTTAAAACGTAATATTTTATTTCAGGGATTCAATTTTTACAGAATTATACCAACATAAAATGTGTATTAATATAGTAATATAAAATGTTGTTCTTAATTTTTCAAAAATTATTTATAGTTATTTATTTTTATTATTTTTATTACCTATATTTTGTATAATATTTTTGTATACTATGTGTTTAACTGTATTATTTGACATATCGATAATTCAAAATATTTTTATATTCTACACCTATTTGTAACGTTGTTAAGTTAGTTATTTAATTTGAATTACACATAATTTAAAACAAAATATTATTTATAATATATAATTTTTTTAACAATATAATATAATATACGTATTTGTAATTAAATATTAATTATAGATACTAATTAACGTTTAAAAAATATTTGTTCAACCATTTGCATGAGGTTGTGAGTAATATTGTAGTCTGGGGATTTTTTTTCCGGGATTCCTATTTTGTATACAAATATGTTCGTAAACGTTTTATTCGTATACGAACATGATTTCGTATTTTGTACAACCATACGAAACTAAGATATACGAATCATTGGCCATACGGATGTTTTTCGTATGTATGACGTCTTTAAACGATGACGTTTATCCGTATTTTAATTTCGAACCTATACGAACAGCATTTAAAAATACGTATACCCTCATAGCTACATCGTATAGTCGTCCATACATTTAAACGAATTTTGGTGGAACTCCATCTTACTATAATACTATAGGAACAATAATTTAATATATTATTGTTTACATTTAAATTTCTAAATATTATAATACGTCTATTATATGATAAAATAAATACGTCAAATTGTTAGATATAAAATAAAATATCTTATCTGGAAAGCTATAGTGAAAATATATACATATAATACTCATTATAGGTAGATGAATAATACAATTTGAATAATTATTTTATATTATAATAGATAATTATTATATTATACATTTATACCTAATTAAATATTAAATATGCTTTAACTTATGATAAACAGAGATTCCATTTATGATTAAAAATTTTAATATAACAAATTTGATGCTTACCTATTGATAATTGATTTTATATTGTACATTTTTATCTAATGGCTATTTCCCGTACAGTCGTAATCGTGTGATTATAGTGGTCTGTTTGATTATTTATCAGCTTTTTTGTATGCTTTAAAAGAAACGGAATGTCAACAGAAAAAAAAATTAAATCTGTCTCTCTAACCGGCGACCAAAAACAAACAATTATAGATTTTATGGAGTCGCATCCTCACCTCGCCAAAGGTAAGTTTAGTGCCTCATTTACCAATGAGAAAGCGACTAATCTATGGCAAGAACTTACAGCATCGTTAAACAGTATACCGGGACCAATCAAAGAATGGAAATAGAATAAGTATTTAAATTTTTAAATATTTCAAATTAGTTAATTTGGAATTTATTCGACAATATAAAAAAAAGTTGGTAGGTATAATGAACAAGATATTTAATTATAATTTAGACGTGGCATGATATGAAAGGAAATGCAAAATCTAAAATGACCCGTTTCATTAAATCTTTTGATAGTCGATACGTCATGATAAATTTCTTTTCGGAAAATTCTATATAATTTTAAAACATTAAATTTACTTATATTTCCAATACCCACGACTATATTTTCAAACTTTATATCATGATACTGAAAAATAAAATTTGAATTGTAAGAACTTACCTTCAAAAGGGTTTCTATTAGTACACACTTGTTTATGGAATTCGGCAGCATATTCTTCGACAATTTCTAATGCTTCTATAGCGGCTAGATTTTCAATCAAGTAAAAGTCATCCATTTCGTCAATAAATGAAGAATGTAACTAATTGTATAATATTATGTCGCAATAATTCTAAATTGATAAAAACACAGTTTTAAAAAATCTACAGCGATGCAAATGATTTTGCAGCTATGATATTAATTAATTGAACTGAGATAATATTTATTTTGTTGTAGTATCTATAGGAAAACCGGCTTTCACATACCCTACTACTATACGTAGTAATCATACTAAAACCAGTCGTACATACGAGCGATTTCGTCGTACGAATATAGTTACAAAATACCATTTTCGTGAACCATACGTACAATTTACGTATGAACGGGAGTCAGTCGTACGTATGATAAGTTTTCGTATACGAAAGTAGTGACAAAATACCGAATTGGAATTTCATACGAAAAATGTGCAATTTTCGTATACGAATATTGCTCGTACATACGATTGTTCGTACACATTTTTTTCATATACGAATATGATTTGGTATTTTATACAACCATACGAAACTAAGATACACGAATCATTGGCCATACGTATGTTTTTCGTACTATATTATTTTATATTCGTACGTATGACGTCATTAAACGATGACGTTTATCCTTATTTTAATTTCGAACCTATACGAACAGAAAATACGTATACCTACATGGCTACATCGTATAGTCGTCCATACATTTAAACGAATTATGGTGGAATTCTATCTTACTATAATACTATAGGAACAATAATTTAATATATTATAATATTATTATGTTCAAAATTCAGTTTATGTACCTATATGCTATAAAAATAAGAATTAACAAACTTTTCGTTCAATTGTTAGGCCTCTTGATGTGGCTGACGGTTCCATGTAAGGATATACCGTATTAATGACACGTTTCATTAAATTGTTTGATAGTCGATACGTCATAATAAATTTCCTTTCGGAAAATTCTATATAATTTTAAGACATTAAATTTACTTAAATTTCCAATACCCACGACTATATTTTCAAACTTTATATCATGATACTGAAAAATAAAATTTGAATTGTAAGAACTTATTTTCAAACGGGTTTCTATTAGTATACACTTGTCTATGGTATTCGGCAGCATCTTCTTGGACAATTTCTAATGCTTCTATAGCGGCTAGATTTTCAAGCAAGTCGAAGTCATCCATTTCGTGAATAAAACGAGAATATAATTATTGTATAATATTAATATAGTATGTGGAAATAATTTTAAATTGACACTAACACCGTTTTTAAAAACAATAGCGGTCAGCGATTTAAATGATTACTCAGCTATGATATTAAATTGAGATAATTTTTATTTTGTTTTAGAATACGAAAATCGGCTTTCACATCCCCTACTACCATACTTTGTAATCATACTAAAACCAATCGTACATACGAGCGATTTCCTAGTACGAATCTAGTTACAAAATACTGCTAAAGGAACGTTAATTTCGTACCTACAATGTACAAAATATCATTTTCGTGAACCATACGAAAAATTTACTTATGAACGGGAGTCAGTCGTACGTATGATAAGTTTTCGTATACGAAAGTAGTGACAAAATACCGAATTGGAATTTCATACGAAAAATTTTGCAATTTTTGTATACGAACTACATTCGTATTTCGTACAAAATAGACCCCCAGGTCATCCGACGTAGGTAAAGTGGTGGTGAATTAATATTATTATATCATATTATGACGACGGCGTTCCTCGGGGAATCAACAATTTCATTGAATTTTGAATTTCATCAACTCCGGAGAATGCAAACGTTGGTTTGTTTAGACCGTTTTCACGACAATCCGTAGTAAACAAACTACATTGACTCGTAAATGTTTTTCTTTGTTCTGATAACTAATATTATTTTATAGATACCTACTGGCATGCGACCACTGGTGGATTCAGGGAAGGGGTACGTGCACGCCTTGTCAATTTCCTGTAACTACGAATATAACTATAAATGAAAAATTCAGTTAATATAAGAATAATATTACCAACTATTAATTATTATTTATTATAATCATTATTGTTTAAAAATGATAGTATGTATGTTTTATTAATTAAAATTAAAATTATACAATATATGTGTTCCCCCCTCTCTCACCTATCAAAATATTGAAGATCCACCCCTGCGTGCGACTAATTAATTTTAGGGGAAATGAAAACTATATATTATACTGCGCAGTATTAACTCAGGTTAACAATGAACATTATATAAAATTATTTCGATCAGAGTACCTACATAAGTATTTATCGAGTTGTATAACATGACTGAAACTGTATGAAATCATTAATTACGATGGTACATTATTTTTGATGCACTTGCCACGAGCTTTTATTATTCTGATCATGATGCCAAATTATTATTCTTGTTAAAGACCTAAATTATTGTTATTATGTGATCATGTCAAATTTTATTATTATTACTGTGATGTAAAATACACACACCAACTTATTACCCAAAACCTAATCTTATACTTATTTTATTATTAACGCAACCTTTTCCCCTTTAATATATAAATCTCTGGCATTCATTTTCCACTGCGTGTTTAAAATCTACGAGTTCCACCGACTGGGCCTTATTGCCTACCTAGGTAGGTGTTCCCCCTCACTCGTGGGTAGTTTCTGTGAGGATAAAACTCCAGATTCTTATAGATAATATTATATAATATTTTAATTTTTTTTTCTAGATTTAATAAAATATTATGTACCGCCTAATGTTATAAATATTTTAAAATAAAGTTGGGAAAATAATAATTCGGTAGAAGATTACAAGTGCCGACCTCCTTACTCGTCACGTGGTGTATCCTGCATGGTAATGTGGAGTGTATATATAAAAGAAAACGCGTTCCTGAACGTGCGTACAACAATCTTTCTCTACCGATATTCCCATGGCGATAATATCTTTTTGTGCCCAGAGATACCCAGGGTCAGAAATATATTGCTGTCGTATAATTAGACACGGCCATGTGTACATTCCTTATATTGTGTTGCTGCGGCTGCCTCGTTTATCCTCCCTGCAGCGTGACGTGCATTATAAATTATACAAATTTATATAATCCGTTGTGAGACGAAACCGAAGCGAGAAAGAAAAAAATCTTTATTATATGTATCCCGAAATATAAAACTCGTATGGGTAATAAATATTCGACCCGAACAAAAAACCTTTTCGTCGACAGGTGGTGCCGGTATGGCGGCGGCATGGGCGGTAGAGATAATAATTTTATGTTAAGGTCGTCGCCGGAACTTCACGAGTGTGGGCCAGAGGGTGCAGAGAGTGCCAGAGAGTTGAGTGCTTTTTGTGTTTTTGGGGGTGTGGTGAGGGTCGGAGCAGATTGTAGTAATGTGTAGTTGGAATGCGACCGTCAAAGCATATAATAATAATATATTATGTTATACGGATCGTCTTTGTAGGCACAGTCCTTTTGTATACCTATATTATTATTTTTTTTTTGTCGTGTTTCACTCTGTCGTCGGCGGCGGCTAATCCAAAATGTCGGAGAATGCCGCCACCGCGCCGCTACCCTGCAATGCTTCACCGGTGAAATATCTCGTACAGTCGTACATCTTTAGAAAGTCATACTATATATACTACAGCAATGTCGGAGAGTTGACAAAAATAAATTATAATGGAATCACGAAAAAAATCAAAAAAAACCAACAAATGAAAAACCAAAGGAAAAAAAGACCACGGAAAAAATCCCCAAATCTATACCTAACTGTCGGATACAGCTGTAAAAGTGTAATAAATAACTAGCTGAACCCGTGCACTTCGTTGCACATTAAGTGTACCAACTCTATGTGACTCAAACTTTTTTCAATTCGTTATTTAATATTCGGTGTATGGTTTCAAAATTAATCTTAACTTTTTCGGTTGCCTGGAATATAATAATATATAATATATAATCAATTAATAAAAAATCCTAACCTAACCGTACTAAAATCAGATGGATAAAAAAAACCTAATTTAACCATTTTCAAATTAGCCAATCTTTTTCCCAGATGTCTAATATGCACACAAACATTCAATTATATATATTTATTTATTGACAAAAAATAATAATACAAATCAACAAACATGCCCGATTAACCAATAGCAACCAAAATATAATATACTATTATTATCATTTTTTTTTTTTGGCCATGTCACCGGGTGTCCACTTAAGAGGCCCTAACTCCTGAACCACTTATCGCACAGCGGAATAACCTCACAGAAACCATCTAAATATCAATTTTAATATGCCCTGAAAATTTTATCGAAATTGGTTTTTTGGAGCTTGAGTTATAAAATGTATTCAAAATATACACTTATTTTTTTTGTATTGAATATACTGCGTAGTGCGTAAAATATATGATGTCAGATTAGGATAAAGTATAGTAGACGACAGACAGCATTTAATAATCACTTAACTTCTATCGTCAAAACGACAACGCTACTACCGGGGCTCTGCCCTCCGACAACGCGTTTAAATATTTAGATTATATTATTATCTATTGTGCAGTACAAATAAAAATCGTATAATATATGATATTGGTACAATATACCAATTACCAATTGATATGGTTAATTAACGATGTATTAAAATATATACCAGGCACGCCCGCAGATAAGTAGCTCACTAGATGCAAAATACCTACTTTTAGTGACAATATAAGCTTTGGGTGCTAAGCTCCCCATTTCCTTACCATTATTTAATGACATATTTATGATGAATTTTTAAAAATATAAGAATTCATAATTTATATTATTGATTAGGTACCTAATAATTAGATACTTACCTACATAATGGTTAATATAAATTGGTTATCAATTGGAGTATAAAATAATTAATTGTTTGGAAAAATATACCATTTAATGAATCAGTCCTAATTTTAGTGATACCTACGTTAGTTTCATGTTTTATATTATTCATATCCAAGTAAAAATTTTAATTGCAATTTTAAGCATTAACTGTAATTGTTTTACAATGCAATTAAAATATGAATATAATATAATGGTATAACAATACAATAAACAATCTATAGTGTTAGGTTTATAAGTGTACAATAATAATAATACTATCATAATATATTTTATTTTTATACAGTAGAAACCAATATATTATTATAATAATGAGTGGATCAAACATACCTACCCATAATAATGAACCTCAATTTTAGCTCCAAAGAGTTTTAAAGTTTTAAGAAAATTAAAGTTAATTTACGTTGTCCGATTTTATTCTGAAAAACCCGAACTGGCCAGAAAATTGTCTATAGATCGTACGGAAAGCTTTGTAAACATTAAATCTTTTATTATTGTAAACTGTAATTGATTAAAAATTTCCTAAATGTTGCCCCTCAAATAATATCCGTAGCGGGGTTCGACAGACGACTGTTTCTTAGCATAGGTATATAATGTAATCGGTCGACTGCTATTGTTATTATTATATGAATATAGATATACAAATTTCATGTAAACATTTTTTTTTACCGATTTCAACCCTTTAAATTCAAAAATTTCGAAAAATCCTTTCTTAGCGGATGCCTACGCCATAATAGATATCTGTATGCCAAATTTCAGTCCAATCCGTCCAATGGTTTGAGCTGTGCGTTGTTAGCAGTCAATCAGCTTACTGTTTTATATATACAGATAATGAATACCTAGGTAATAATAAAAGTTAAAACAATATAAAATTTGAATGATAATCATTAGAACAATATCTAGGTCGGACCTCAGTTCTGCATAAAAATAATTATGGTAGTAATAAAAATGTATAAAATGTGAATGATAATTATTAGAATATAATTTTTTTTTTTAATATTCGGAAATATTTTACTCCGAGCAACAATTCTTTTTTATATAATGCAAACAAAAATATTTGACGTGACTAACTAAACGAAAAAAAATTAGATTTCGTTTATCATTTAAAGATTATGAGAAATGATTTTGACAGTAGGTACTTGGGAAAAATCGGAACATTATTTAAACTCCGAGACACCATCTAGATCTAAAAGGCAAAAAGTTCCCGACGTTTTTGTGGATAAAAAAACCAAGTATCGCAGACTCTATTTGGAAATCATAGATACAATAATTGTAAAGATGAATGAAAGGTTTTCAGGTATTAATCAGTTAAATTTATTTTCGTCATTAGATTTTTCAACATGTAATCGCTATGTTAAACAATTTCCTACTAATGCAATGAATTCACTAAAAGAAGCATATGGAGAGCATTTTGATTTTGCTCTATTCCATAGTGAACTCTCTATTGTATACTCATCGGCAGAATAAAGAAACTAGCAAGTATTCATGAACTTTGGTTGTATCTTAAATCTACAGACCTATCTCAAAATTCTTTGTAATAATAATTGAATTATTATTTAAATAAAATTATAATTTGTAAATTTGTTGACAATTATAAATTTTTAAAAGTTATAAAATAAAGTTAAAAGGAATTGTATATATTTTTTACCAATTATATGTAGTTGATTGTAAAATTACTAATACATTTCCAATACATTAGTTTTTCTGTTTACGTTCGGCCGATGCAACAGTCACTGGTAAACTGAAAAATATAATACAAGATGTAACAACTACACTATCCAAAGATGATAGTTCGTTTTCTATTAAATATAAACATAATTCTATAATTGATTTCATATCAGTGTTTTTTATAAATTCCTCTAAAAGATAGAACTTGACTAGTTAAATCGGAAGTTACGTCAGTTTTGTAAAACTGAATAAAACCATAGCATGATTTTACTATTTCTGCTTCATTTTATTTTATTATATTTGGTGGCATATAATATCATTGTATAAGAAAAACGATTCTGGGCAACGACGGTATGTCAGTCTAGGTATAAGACATATTATATACTTATCTATTTTATTAAAAAAAAATTGACCTATAATAGGTACCTAAATATAATAAATTAAAAATTAATCATATCACAATATCCATTAGGTACTTATAACGCGTTATACATCAACAAAAACCGTGATACTATCATAGATATATAATATTACACTTTAGAAGTTTCAAGTACCCACGAATAATATATGTATTGACCAATATATCTAATCTATATGAACTATGGCCTATAAGCTACGATATAATTTATAAATAATTCAGCAAATGTTAAATTTAATACTATTTGGACAAAGTATTTTAGTGATTTTTATTTACTTGACTTAAAACGCTAAGCAACACTTACTTAAATAATTACATTTTTACTTTTATTAGTGTTTTGTTTTTATAACAAATAATTAGCTACATCCTAATTAAATAACACTCATTCATTATTCAAAATTTTTATAAAGTCATGTCTATTCTTGTGATTGGAACTAGCGTTCTACTATTTTTGGATGCTGCTAGCAAAATTTATTATGCTTTTAGTATTGTAACCAACTTAGTGTTTGCTGTTGTAAGCAGTTGTTGTAAGTCATTATACTCTATTCAATAAGAAAATATACCAGTTCTGGGCATCCCGAATCGAAACCCTTCGATTGATGCCGGTTTCACTATAGCAGGGTGTCATGTAGGGATGTGCAGAAGAATCAACTTTTGTTGGGTAATGGCATATTGTATCTGGACAGTGTATATGTTCTACTCTTGTTTATTATAGTAAATTCAAAAAAATAATAGTTAATAAGTAAGCTAATTATTATGTATTTTTTAAAAAAATTTCATAACTCACTTTATAAAATATTAATAAACAATCAATCACTACAAAATAACTAAAATAGTTATTCTAGGTTTTTAAATATGTAATTTCATCCAAATTTGAATTTAAAATGTCTGTAAAAAATAACTGTGTTCATATATTTTTTAGATTTTTTGGTAACAGAATTAACTACTTACAATCACTGACTTAAAACTACTATCATCGACATCATAATCAATACAGGTAACTAGTAATGGTAAAATATTGTCAACACTTAAGTCGCCTTCATATTCTTCATCCGTGTCCAAGTCATCATTCATGTCAAAAGTTTTGAGATCACAACGCATGAACAATTCAAACATTATTTTGAATAACAAGTGCCTATCAGTCATAGGTTTTGCTATTTCACTACATAAAGTAATCATGTGTTCTTTGGCTGCAGAAACATTATTTACCAATAAGTATGGTGAAAGAGAGATAATTGCTTCCATGCCAAGTATCCAACAACAATATTCTGAACAATATCTGTTAATAGGGAAAGTTCAATACCAACTTTTGGTAATTGTTGAACTTGAAAAACCAGTTCAAAGACCTTAAGTAAATTGTCCACAGTTATATCTATGGTATTTAAAAAAATTGACCTATAATAGGTACCTAGTAGGTACCTATAGTAAATTCCAAATTAATCATATCACAATATCCATTAGGTACTGATAACGAGTTATACATCAACAACAAACCGTGCTACTATCATAGATATATAATAGTACACTTTAGAAGTTTCAAGTACCCACGAATAATATTATACACTCACAACAAAATAACTAAAATAGTTATTCTAGGTTTTTTATTATGTAATTTCGTCCAAATTTGAACTTAAAATGACTATAAAAATAAAATTTTCTTATGTCATTTTTAGATTTGTTGGTAACAGAATTAACTACTTACGTGGAATCTTGTTTTAAATTTTCAATCCTTAGATATAAAAGTTGAAAATTTTATAAATTTTTAACTACAAAATACAAATATTAAATTTTAAATTTGATATATTTTGTCAAAATTCGATCTTTAAATGCTTATAAAAAAAATTGTGCCAATGTATTTTTCATATTTTTCAACTGATATTGTTACAATATATCAGGAGTGTTGTATTCAATTTTTATACTTTTACAACAGATAAAACTTTATTGATATTTATAGAAAAAAAAAACTAAAAAGATTGAAAACTGAAAATGTCCGTAAACAGCTCAAAAAGAGTCAAAATATTTTCAAAATTGTATGGTGTATAGAAAATGCTAATATAAACATTCAGTCAAAAAAACGGTCATATTCACAAAAAAATAAAAAAAACACACATCATTGTAAAATCAATACATTCATCGTTCCACTCAGAATCTAATGTAAAGTATATAGGTACCTAGTTAGGAATATAAGAGCTATGGAAGAGCTTCCTCTTTAAAAATGAATAATTAATATAAAACACAACTTTAAATCTGTATATTTCAGTTTTACTGTAACTCAGTTCATACAAAGGTACCATATCAACTCTTCGAAAGGTACCTATGATAAGAATTAGGCCTGCAAAAAAAATGCCAGCAGGCCAATTTATTATATTCATAGGCTCAACTAGGTTAGCATGGGTGTGATTCAGCCATCCACAATTTTTTAAAGCCCATATACATATTAATACTTGATAAAAAAATACTAGGCCTGAAGCCTCCAAACTTTAAGGTACCTATACTCCAGCTATACGGTAATACAAAATAAAGGCAATAAGTGGATGTCAGTCTGCTGTAGGTGCATTATATTACAAGTGGGGTCACTGTTATGAATGGTAATACATTTTGACTCAATGATATAATATCGTTATTGTAGACGAAAAAATATTCTGAGAGGAGAGACGGTTTATCAGTATAGGATATTTTATATTATATTTATATTACTAGGTATTACTTATTATTAATACGGTAGCCGGTAAGTTGAATTAATATAATTTGTATATTATCATACTTAAATATTTGTATAATATTTTATTATAATACATGAGAAATTTCAAGTATCCACAAATATTATTTTAAAATCACGACAAAATAACTAAAATCATCCAAATTTGAACATAAAATAACAATAAAAAAACTGAAGGTTTATTTAAAGTTTGGAATCAATTAAATATATTTTTACGGTTGTTGGTGAAACTTTAAAACAAATGACTGTAGATACATACAATTTTTACTGGTGTTTATATTAGCATATTCTATACAAGATAAAATTTTCAAAATATTTTGATTTGTTTTGAACAGTTTACGGACATTTTAAGTTTCCAATTTGATTAGTTTTTTTTTCTATGAATGTCAATTAAATGTTATTTGATGAGTAAAAATGCTTGAAAATATAATACAAAGCTAATACTAAATTGTTACACTTAAAAACAATAAAAATTCTTGGTCGCAGTTTTTTTTTATAATCACTTAAAGTTTAAATCTGGTCAAAATACGGAAAAATCACGAAAATCAGTAAATTATTTTGAGTTAATTTAGAATTCATAAAAAATTTTCTTTTTAAATCTGAGATTTGAAAATGTAATATAAGATTATTCATAAGTACGTCTATATTAATTATTAAAAAAAAAAAATGTCCACAAGCAAATCAAATTAAATTTGTAGGAGCGTTTGAAGTTCAAATTTTTACAATATTGGTTATTCACTCGATTTTTCATGTAGCGATTTTGTTATTTGGTTGTTATTCAAAAATGAAAAACTGTAGATACATGAACATTTTCACTGGTTGTCAATATTAGCACTTTCTATACACGATAAAATGTTTGAAAAATGTTGATTTGTTTTGAACCGTTTACCGACCTTTTTCATTTTTATTAGTTTTTTTTCTATGAATGATTATGTTTTCATTTTCTATACAGCATACAAATTTTAACTCTTTTTGAGAAGTTTTAGGACGTTGTCAGTTTTCAATTTATTTAGTTTTTTTTTTTGGTATAAATATCAATAACATTTTATTTTTTGAGTAAAAAATCGTGAAAATTAATGCAAGGCTACTGATATATATTGTTACAATAGCAGTTAAAAAATATTAAAAATACATAGGCACAATTTTTTTTATAAGCATTTAAAGTTAAAATTTTGACAACAATTATTAAATTTAAAATTTAATAATTATTTTGTAGTTAAAAATGTATAAAAAGTTCAACTTTTATACCTAAGGATTGATAATTTAAAACAAGGTTCCACGTAAATAGGTTATATATAAATTACTTTATTCACAACAATATCATTAAATATGCTTAGTAATATCAATATACCATAGGCTGTCTGACCGTCTTCGCTCAGAATCGTTTTTTTATACAGTAATATTATATCATTGAATTCAAATTTTACACCATCCATTACAGTGACCCACTCGTAACATACTGTACATTAGATCGACACCCAATTGCCCACCTTTGTTATCTTTTATATACATAGATTGTTGCTATACTACAAAATACAAATATATTATACTTATTTTAATTAATATTTATTACAAATTACCAAATCTGAATAAACAATTAAATGGTTTTTGGTGAAAGGGCCCCACCAAAAGTAATAGCCCTCCTTATATTATTATGACCATTATCTGATCCTGGTAATAATAATTTATTACATATCATAATTTATATATCTAGATAATTTATATCAGTCTGGCTTTCATTTAAATTTCAAATAATAGCGGTAAACAATAAGTACATCTAATAATAATATTATGTAGGTAGGTACCTAGTACCTACTATTAAGTACCGATACAAATATACAGAACCTTCCCACATTATTGACTAATACAAAATACGTGTGAGTAAATTATAAGTAATTAATACTACTGCTTAAAAGTATGCTTTATTACCTTGTATTCCTCACTGGCCACTGCTAATACACCCTGCATATTCATAAAAATTGAAAATATTATTATAGATGTTAAATTTTGTTTTAAATGAACTCAAAATACAAATATTGTGCACATATAGTGTATTCTGTATATGTTTAAAAGTTAAAACTATAAATGTGCACTTTTTTTACTCATAGTTTTCATAAAAACAATTATTTTACCAAATAAATTTTTACATTTCATAATATTTAATAAATATTTAGTAATAAATTCGAGAAATAGTATGTCAACTAGAAATTGAAATAATTCCTAGGAAGATGTGAAAAATCAAAATAAATATACAGCATAATTTAAGTACCTATATTTATTTATTTTCTCATTCCCAAATGTTGAAACTGTAAATACGAGTATTAGAATCTTCCCATTACCCATAAAATATGCTCTAAAAAATTGTAACATTAAGCTCTTATACTTCAAAATTACTAAATATGCAAAAACTATCACTATAAACTTTGAATATTTTTTCGTAGTTTCGTTAAAATAATTTCATGTTTAGCTATAAATTTAATATTCCAAATAAAAGCCATACAAATTCAACGACCTCAGAGCTGTAATTATCTATCCACATAATATAGAAAAGTATAAAAAACTATAGGTACAATTTCGAAACATATATAATACACAATTATTATTGGGCGATGAATATTTTGTTTACATTTGATTAATCAGATTTTATTTACTATTTAGATAAACTCTATTCAATATTGAACTATTTATATATTATGTATTATATAAATATAATATTTTAAACTCTATATCATAATTATTTTAATGTTTCATTTCCGGTTGCATTTAAATAAATGCTGGTACTTTGAAGCCGATATCAAATCGTTAACAATATTGTAACGATCTTGGAGCTCGGTACTAATAGTAAATAAGTGATTATCGAGATGTTAAAGACGCAGGTCGCAGACACTTTATCTGATGTTGAAGTCGTGGTTGATGAATGAATAATAAGACAGTTGTTGTATATTGTGAATTTTATTATAACGCTCGATAATTTTTCTATGTCCAAAATAATATTGTACAAAGTGGCGTGAAGGTGCTTGCACTAATGGATGGTAGTACACGTCTGAAAATAGGCCGATTCGGGCTCCCTTTTATATGAAGTTCCCCGTACCCCTTGCCTATGGATACTGTATCTCGGCTCACGGATGTGATATTTATTGAAGTCTCGATGAGACAGTCTCGGCAAATGTGTAGGTATCGTCTGCATTAAAATATAAATTTTCTTTCTAACGAATATGATGTGCATGATTAAAAGTTGGAATCACGTATTCACTCATTCACGAGTAGGTGATGAAGCTTACTGCAATGGAAATTCGAATTATGAACTTTCATGCGTTGGTGGAACAACTGGATCAGTACTTCGTCATTTAAGTTATTCATAGACTGAAGCTATTTTACATCTTTACAACAGTTCTTCGTAAAGAAAATCATTCTACAGTGTCTATGGCGAGAGCTTTGCTTTACAAAGTCATAGAAAATCATTTAAAATCACGAGATGTTGACAGTTTAATTAATAATGACTTTAGTATTGCTCTTATATTTGAAT